TGTCCTTGCGCCTGATCTCTCTCCGCTCGTGTCGGATAACCGTCCCATCGGATTATGAGAGTGAGGCAATAGAGAGTGCACCTATGCTTGCGCATACACTTGAGCACTATAATCCTGTCCTGCGCCGATGGCTAGTCTCCGTTGATACTGGCTGCCGCGACCGCAATTCAGCCTGGAGGACATTTTCTTTTATAGAAGAGGGGGCAAACGAGCATGCGGCTCACCTGAGATAAGTGACTACCGCCGCCCATGAACAACTGCAACACCAGGGGAATCGCAGATGCGTTGCCGGCCTTTTAGAAAGGTGTGGACTCTTTTCTTGAAGGTCCCTAAGTCGTATCGGTCCGGAAAAAATCGCTGGTGATAAACAATTTCACAGATAGGTTGTACAAGGAAGAAAACTTCTAGTAAAACACACAGTGATGGATCGCCAAGCATGCAGATGGTGTGGGTGGTATCTTGAGTGTTGACTCGATATGTGCGTTGATGAAATTCGGCGGCTGGAATTAATCCGAACAATTCCTCAGAGCACTACCAGTTGGAAATGCGATAGAAAATGCAAAGAGATGCAAGACATTACATCAGGGGGGTAGAGTGGTCTAGTATAGACGTAGGCGAAGTCGCATCACGGAAGCCCCTTTTCTTTCGTTCCCAAGATCTACCCAATAGATTTATCCTACCAAACATGCCTTGACACGACATATCTACATACTCATAGCTATTAATTCCTGACAAGTCTCGTATTCCGTCAATATAATGGTCGCGGTCTTTGAAGGTGGTTACAACGACCTCGCAGTCGCACTTAAGAGGGGCTTCTTGCGAGGCCCCAAACAAATACGCTTTTAAATTTGTGACGTTCTTCTTCGAGCGTAAAAGTAATCAAATTAAATAGTCATCTGTGGTGTAAAGTCTGGAGACATCGCATTTTAAAGGGCCACGCTAGACCCCTTTGAGTGCGAGACCATGGGCGAGGACCCACTTCGCCCACGCCTAGCTACGCCACTGCATTACATTACAAGTCAGTTAATAATTCCTCAGTAAGCATCAGTAGCTGTGTAATGGCGGCCTAAGAATATTCTCCACCGCATTTCTTTTTGATCTACACAAAAGGTAAGTTCGTTTAACCATTTAATATTAACAAATCATACAATCTTTGATCTGAAATCTAAATATAGTTTGTACTTGAATGCATTGTTTATCTGTGATCGATGTAACAAGCCGCTAAATTGAGACGTAACGTTCTAAAGTAGGATAACCTTACATCCAACCTTACATAACATTGTTTGCTGTAATCGCCTACAAGAGTGATTAGGGTTGTCAGTCAGTTATTGTGGCATTTCTATTTAACATACTTTTTATATGTTAACAAATAGAAAATCAAATGTTTATTTTTTAATAATATCTGATATTATATTATACCTAGTCAGGTCATAAATTCTGTCACATGTTTAATATAAAATAATTGAAACAAGTTTATTTATTATGTAACCATTTATATACCAAAATGAACTTAACAAAACATAGATTCTTATGACACTAATGTTTATTCAAAATGACCTCCGTGATTTTTAATACAGGCCTTCAATCTGCGCGGCCAGTCGTCTATCGCAGCACGAACGAGGTCCATGTCAATATCGGCAGCTGCCTTAATCAAGGATGTCTTGAGTGACTCCAAATTGGGATGAGGCTTTGAGCACGCCTTTTCCTCCAAGTGTTGCCATATCTTGTAATCTAACGGATTCAAATCTGGACTGGAGGAGGGCCAGTCTTCGTGCCGGATGAAGTCGATTTCACGCGCCGCCAGCCAGTCTTGTGTGCTCTTCGCTCTATGAGCTGGCGCCGAATCTTGTTGGAATACCCAATGCCTGTTATTGAACATGGTATGAGAAACAGGTTCCACAAGGTTCGTCAGGACTGTATTTTGATACACAACTGCATTCGTTTTTACACCTTTCTCACAAAAATATACCTCTGTTAAGCCCCAATAAGAAACTCCCAACCATACCATGAGCGAGGATGGAAAATGACCTCGTTGGACACGCGGAATACGGTTGCTCGCTTCTTCACTACTGTGTGCGTACACCTTATCATTTTGTTTGTTGTAGCTCTCTTCTACGGTAAAAATTTTTTCATCCGAAAAAAGAATTTCCCGTTATTTTTTTCCCGCGTACCGCTTCAACAAACCGCGGCATCTCTTCAGTCTCAGGTCCATTAGACGAGCATACAAACGATGTCCTGTTTTTCTTCGATATGCCCGAAGCCCTAAGTCTTCATTTAACACCCTTTTCACCGTGGTTTTGCTTAACCCCATCTGAAGGGCCAACAGTTTCTGCTTACGTTTGGGATTTCTTTGAATTCGCGCCTTCACAGCTTTTATCACTGCTGGAGTCCTAACAGACCGAGGGCGACTACTTCTTGACCTGTCATCTACACTAGAGTCTTCATTGTATCGTTTGATGGTACGATAAACGAATCTTTTGGTTATATTCAAATTTTTCAGTATGTCATAAATTTGAATTGGCGCGTAACCGCAACGATGCAACGCAAAAACTGCAACACGGTCTTCTTTAAGCGTTCACTCCATATTTAAAAATGAGTAAAATTCTGAAAAGTATACAGTTTTATTTTCATGAACAATTCGAAATTCGAATTCAATAAACTTTTTTGTGGCCAGCATTCTAAAAGAAAAGTTTTTACTGTGTGACAATACTTATGACCTGACTAGGTATAATCAAAGAATTCCTGCTGGGTTTCTTGCTGGTTCGGAAAAGGACAAAGGCTTTTTCCGAACTTTAACACTGGGTTAAAACTATAAACCGATTGTAAGGAAACTTCACGAACACACAGAGCAATGCTATATTTTATACGAAAATCTTTTTTTTTATAGGTTAAGGGTGACAAACGAGCACACAGTCCACCTGATGGTAAGTGAATGCCGTGGTCCATAGACACTAATACTTCCAAACGAGTGGACCGATTTAGATTTAGTTTTTTTTAAAGGTGACTTGATCGAGAGTGTTCTTAGCTAAGATTCAAGAAAATCTTTTCAGCCGTTTGAAGATCATCGGCTCTTTTCGTTTCGGGTGTTTTTTTTTTAATTTCTAATTTAAGTTATTAATGCGGCATTCCATTTTGATCCATATAGGGTTGCCATCTGTTCGGCTTTAGCCGGACATGTTTGGCTTTTTTGGGTTGCATCCGGCCAAATTTTTATGCGTCTGGCCTGTCCGGCTTTTGTTAGGCTTTTTGTTAGTGTAACGCGTTGCAAGCATCGCTCGCAGAGTAAATAAATAAATAACGTATACACTTCAAACAGTGCTGTGATTGATTAATAAACAATTAACGTATGTAACGGAGTATTTTAGTTTTTTTCTTGGGGGGTTGGAGTTGATGAGTTTTTTGGCTGCATGGCGTCAGAAAGGTACGTTTGGTTAAAAATTACTGTCCGACTTTTAGGGCCAAAAGTCCGGCTTTTTGGAGCGCCGAATCCGGCTTTTTTATTTTAGGAGATGGCAACCCTAGGTCCATAGCGACGCGCATGAATTTTGAATCTTAATCTAAGACAGATGCAGGTCTACATAGACCACAAAATTCACTTACCATTAAGTGGACTATGTTACTCGTTTATCAACTTTATATTTAAAAATGGCAAGTAATAAATTTGCTCGAACAAAACAATTGTTGGCAACCCTAAAAGAGATATCAATGATTACGATAAGAATGTTAATGAAGCAAGGTCAAACAATCCAGTGGAAACTTTTGTTTATGAACAATAAATATATTTTTCGGCACGAACCTTCAAAAAGTTACTAAATTGAATACAAGTTTTTCCGATAACAAATTAGTCAAACAACCGTTCCTTATAACATGATTGTAGTCGATTTTGAACACCTTGGCGACATTATATGAATACACTATTCATTTTATAATATTTTTTGGGTCAGATTTACTCAGAACTGCCTCGTGGATCTAGTGGTCGTTAGCGCGACTGCAGTTCATGTGCTCCCTGGTTCGAATTCCGGTAGGACCAAAATCAGTTATTGGGTTTTTTTTAAAAAAATCTTAATAGCCAGCAAGTTTGCGGTGTTTCACCCCCGTGCCTCGGAAAACACGTAATCCGTCGCTCCTGCGCTTATTCGGTATCGGATTGCCGTCCCATCGCACTGATGAGAGTGATGCCTCCTCTACACTACTCGCGAAGTAACTTTGACGAAGTGCTCGTCGAAGTCGATCGCAGTCCGAAGAACGTGACTACACACTCGTGCTACTTCATGAAAAGCTCAGTCGTCTTGAGTCTCCCGCACCGTTAACATGAATAACGTTCAAGAGGCAGCTACTATAGGTGTCTAATTATATGAACAGTAGGACGTCAATGCGTTAACTAAATAAATAATTATGTAGAAAGCTATATATTTAATATTCATGTATAAAAAAATATATATTCATAACTGGCGTAAGCCGTACAGTGTAGTGAGCCGCTTCGTGTTACTTCGGGGTACGTCGCGAAATCTTTTACTCGCGTAAAAAACCGACAGCGATCGGAAGTCGCCCGAGGCGAAGCGAGGTTGCACGAAGCGAATCGAAGCACCTCTCTACACTATTCGTCTCGTCCAACTTAGATCTACTTCGCGAGTAGTGTAGAGGAGGCATAAAGAAATAGAGAGTGAACCTGTGCTAGCACACACATTCGCGCACTATACTGTCCCGCGCAAATGACTAGTCTCTGTTGAACCTGGCCGCGGTGATCGAAATTCGGTCTGATGCATACTTTTATTATTATCTTACAATTTGCAGAAATATTCTTAGTTTTTGGATTTAATTTAAATAATTGCAGGATCCCAAACAACAGTAGCATCTAGCCACCTTCTCTATTGAAATCAGGATGATTACCTATAATTCCAAACACCACGCGAGTCATCCATAGTTCATCATTACAGCCCTTCACAAGTCCAATGCTGAACATAGGCGTCCCCCAAGGAATGCCACAAAGCACGATCCTGAGCCACCTGCATCCATCGACATCCTGCATGTCTTACCAGGTCGTCACTCCGTCTTCATCATCTTATCAGAGTTATACGTATATATTTTTTACGTGGTAGAGACATGCTGCACCTATATTAATAGCATAGTTGTAGCACGAATGTGTCGGCTCGACCGGGGAAGGACCACGCTCTCACAGAATACCAGCGTAAAATAGCAGCTTAATGCTGCTGAGTTTCGTATGGTGAGTGTAGAGAACCGGAGACCCATTTTACTGGAAAAGAGGCATTCTATCTTAGTCCTCACGGCTGACAACGCATCGGCATTTTAATTCGCAAACGAAGATAGATGTAGATGTCTATGGGCCACAGTAACCACTTACCATGAGGTGGACTTTGTGCTTGTTTGTCATCCTTACTTGTTAACCAAGCATATCTCCGCAAGATTTTAAGATATTAATAAAAATGTCCGTCACACCAAATTTCGGTCACCGCGGCCAGTCTCAACCGCGGTCAGTATAGTACGCAAGTCTGTGTGTGTGTGTGCACACTTGCACTCTCTATTTCTTCGATCTCGACAACAACACAACCTGCCGGCTACAATTATGAACCTAAACCATTCTCTAATCAACTTAATCACTCACAAATCACAATCACAATTTCATCAAAATCGATCCAGCCGTTTAGGAGTTCAGTTACATCACACGGACAGATGACTTATATATGTATACGTATGTACGACAGAAGAATTATATATATACGAGTATGTATAATGATTAGAATAGTATAATATATAATATGCATGTTTTATACATATAACCCTTCCTCTTGAATGATTATGTCTATTAAATATCAAACCGCATTAAAATCCGTTGCGCAGTTCAAAAGATCTAAGTGTACAGACGGCGGGAAGCGACTTTGTTTTATAGTATGTAGAGAAGAGATGTATAGTACGGCCGCTGAGTTATTACCGATTTGACAGATTCTTCTTAAATTGATCGATATAACCTTGCACGAGCGACACATTTGCCGAATGATTTAGAATACCTCTTTAATATAAAACTTTATGTCAAAATGTCAGAATCAAGTAATTTTCCAATAAACTCTGTTTCAAAGCTTAAAATAGTTTGTAAATAATATGAAAACATTTATTTTTTGTTCTTTGGCGCGCTTATACAAAGTTACATCGTGCGTCTAGTTTTCATAGTGATGTGCTTGATAGTATTCGGTCCGAATTCATTGGAATAGATATGATATTTATTTTATAAGGATATTTTTATTTTACTTATTCCTTCGAGCAACTAGACTATAATGCTGTCATTTTTTTGCGTCTCCTAATTGCACTGTGTTGCCAGTATCTCTATGATTTTTAAGATTTATGTGTGATCCAAAGACAGAAATACTGTTTTCTATGATTTAAAAATAAATACAATTAAAATGATTATGTATAATTTTTAACATTCATAATATATAAAACAACATTTAATAAATATAATTTTCTCACTAAATTAAGCAATGTTATAGGTGTATTTTTTTAAGTAATTGGCGAAACAATTCTGGCAACACCCTTACCACCGCTATTTTAAAATGTTTAGTCGTCTTCCGTACTCACGTGCGCACAGACTACGTTCTCTTGTGTAACCGTTGTTTTTTGACTCGGCTTTCTCCTGTTTATCGTTGCGCTTTATTGGACTAATTTTGTTTGTGTTTGGTAATTTTGTTGAAAATGCCGAAACGAGGAAAAACATTGAATAGTCAATGTCGTGAGCTTGTACTAAAGCTACAGGATTACTTTGAGCGTGAGTCACAAAATGGCGGCCCTTTGATTCCTGTCACTCAAGTGAAAGATCGGGTTTTCACAAGCTCTTGGAATTGGTGCAAAAACACTATATAATATAAATAAAGAAAAATTTGGTGCTTCTGGAAGTGAAGATAATGTTTTACGCACTCCTAAGAAAAAACGAAGACAAAAGCCCGTGACAGGTGTTGATGTTTTTGATGCAGATGCAATAAGAAACCACATATATGGTTATTATACTAGGAACGAGTTTCCAACTAGACGTTTGCTTTTGGTCTCTTTAAAAGAAGCTGGCTTGTTTAAAGGCGGTAAAACGGCGTTGTCAAAACTATTGCACGAAATTGGGTTTGAATATAAGAAAACGAATAAAAGGAAAATATTAATGGAAAGATTTGATTTAATAATTAAAAGGAGCGAGTTTTTAAGAGAAGCCAGAAAAATCGAGTCTTGGGACAACGTCGTTTTTGTTGACGAAACATGGTTAAATGCGAACCACACTGTGTCACGCTCTTGGACTGATGAAACAAAAGCATCAACCTCAAAGGTTCCAATTGGAAAAGGATCGCGACTGATAATTTGTCACGCCGGTTCTGCTGGAAGTGGTTTCTTTGAAAATGGACTGCTGGCTTTCGCGTCAAAAAGTACTTCCGATTACCACGAGGAGATGGATACAGACACTTTTACGAATTGGTTCGAAAATCAATTATTACCCAGCCTGCCAGA